TTTTTTTTGTAGGTGCTCTTCGTCAGACTGAGGAAGTTCTCTTCTATTCTTAAGTTTGTTGAGTGTTTATCATGAAAAGGTGTTGGGTTTTGCAAGATGCCTTTTCCATATCCATTGAGGTGATCATGTGTTTTTTGTACTTTGTTCTGTTAATGTGCTATATTATATTGCTTTTTAGATGTTAAACCAGCCTTGCATTCCTGAGATAATCCACAGTTACCTTCTGAGTGGCTAGACTGCCAGCTGCACCAGAGCTGGGACCAGTGTCCCCAGGGCTTAACAGGAGCCTGGTCACAAAGTAGACAATAAGTATTTGTTGAATGAATAAAAGCATAAACCAGTCTAAAATGATTTGAACAACTCTGCTCACCATTTCATTGACTGTCCCTTGAGTGAAAGACTGAGGCGTCCACATGGTATTCTCCTAGAGTCTGAGCTGCCTGCTTGAAGGGCTGTGAAGTCTGCACAAACGTCCCTCTGCGGGCATCGCTTCTGATAAAGTCAGTCCTAGGGTTTGTGCTGCTGCCGTCAGCCCGGTCCCAGGTGTTTGCAGAGGTTGCGGCTGTGACTGGACCATCTCCCTGTGACAGACCAGAGCACCTCCCCTGCTCTTCCCCTCCTGCCCGGGCCGAGTCCCTGAGAATGCACCCTTGTCAGACCGCCGCAGGGCAGCCGAGCTCAGAGCTGGCGCAGAAGTGCCTCTGTCCTCCTCTCCCCTGCTTCCCCTGCCACCAGGCCAGTGAGTCAGCTGAGCCAGGCTCCACTTGTGCCCTCACGCCCGGTCGTGCGTCTCATGGGCACCCAGTCACCCATTGTCCAGCCACTGACCCGATGCTCAGCACTGTAGTATGCAGAGCGCCCAGGGTCCTCCTGCCAGGCACTGGGCTTGGCGCCAGGGAGACCGGAGGAGCCCGCCAGAGATGGCACACCCCCCCCCGCCGCGGACTCCAGACCCAGTGGCGATTAGTCTGGTGCCACAGCTTGTAGCCTTGCTGCTCTCACCCTACACCAGTGTTTGGTCAGCCAGGCCACCTTGCAGCATGTCCCATCAGTCACCAGAAACAACGTCCAGGGCTGCCACCTGCTCGCTCCCCTGCTGCCGGCCAGGGGCTCTAGATCAAGGCTCAACACTCAGAGACCACTGGGCAAGGCTGGTTCTCATTTTGGGTTGAAGTCAGGTTGAGCCTGGAGGGGAGGGGAGAAGGCTGCTGGCCTGTGACCCGAGCACAGCTCCCGTGGCGGGGTGGAGACTAGCCACAGCTCTAGCATCCTCGGCCAACCTTGGTCTCCGCCTTCAGCTGGGGCCCGTCCCCCCCCCCGCCCCCCCCCGGGCCAGCTGGGGTCCACTGCTGTGGCCGGGACCACAAGCTGCAGTATTCCCGGCAGGGACCCTCGCTCCCCGCCCCGGCAGCCCTGTCACCGCTGCTCAGCCCTGGCTGTCAGGACAGGCAGCAGTGAGACCGGGTGTGCGAGAAGAGATGTACGCCAAGTTCCCGGTAAGGCTGGCTCCCGGGAGGACGAAGGGGCTGGCCTGAAGCCCCCAGAGGGAGGACTGGTCACAGCCCCGTGAAACGAGGGCGGGGAGGGGGCCCGTGCTGTGCTTCCCCGATGGCCCTGCGAAGGTGGGACTAGCGGACTGGCCAGGAAGCCGGCGGATGAGGAACCAGAGGGTGGCAGTTGGTCTCTCTGTGCTGTGCGAGGGCTTCCCCAGAGTTTATCACCTGGGTCCACACCTGGGACCCCCCCCACCTCAGGTGGTGACCCGCGCCTCAGAGGTGAGATGCCAGATCCCGAGGCTCCTGGCGGATGACCTGAGCCCCCAGGGCCGGGCCCGGGCTCCCAAGTGGGGTTGTGTGGGCCCCACACCCGCCTCTGCGGAAGGAATGGTGACAGAACTGGGGCAGAGGTCAAGGGATGGAATGCTGCAAGTTAGGTTTTCAAAGAAGATTTAATGACAGATTTTCTAAATATACCATAGATGATTGAGTAAATCAGATCAAGTAGTGCATAGGGTATGATCCTAACTTTGTAAAACAGCCATATAGTCTATATAAAAACAGACATGTGTGTCAAGGAAAAAGACTGGAAGGGATTAACAGTGCTTAGCTCTGTGTGCTGGGATTATGCATATTTGTATTCTGCTTTTTATTTTCAAAAATTTCCCTGGTGCACACGTAATATTTTCTTGTGAGGAAAAACTTTTTTTTTTTTAAAGGGCCAAATGCTTGCTCAAGGCTTCCCAATAAGAAGAGAAATTCTGGAAAGCTCCCCCTTCAGCTTCCTGGAGGTCGCAGGTGGGTGCTGGACTTGGGGAGGGGTTCCTTAGCAGAGGCACCTGGCCGCGTGGCTCACTGTGAGTCCCTGCCGGTCCCTGTCAGTCCCTGCAGCCCGGGACTTTCGTGGGCAGGGGATTGTGTAAGTCTCCACCTCCTCCAGAGATAGGACCACATTTAGATTTTTTAGGAAAAATGCAGCCTTAAAGTAAACACAGCAACACCTCCTGGGCATGCTCTGGGAGGAGCAGGTGTTAACGGGAAGGCCAACAGGGGAGGTGCGGGCACGCCAATTCACTTAAACGAAGACCACTGATAGATGCTATTCATTCGGCACCGTGCAGACGCAGTGCCAAGTGCTTTCAAGGACGCACCTGATGCCACGATGGCCTTGCAAGGACAGAACAGATACCCCATTCAGAGGAAGAAAAACCTCTCACTCAGACGTGACAAAATGTGGTCAATTTAACAAGAGGCAGAGCCAGGATTCCACGCCAGGTCTCCTGGCTCCAAAACCCACCCTGTCCTATTCACAGCCCCCTTTCCTGTGCCATTCTAGGCACTTCTTGAAGCATGTTACCTACGTCCCTAAAGAGAGACACAAGAATGGGGCTTTGCCTGATGGGCTGGCATCAGGCCAGGGCTGTGCCGTGATGGTGGAGATGCACTGGGGATGAGGTGCACAGAGCAGCCCCCCTACGCTAAGGGCCCCAAACTTGGCTATTCCTCCGTGGCCTCTCTTCCTGGCAGCATTTCCTTTGCTGTCAGCGGGCCTGAGCTGACCACCCTTACTTAGGCTTCTAATGTGCAGCCTTGAAGGGAGCCTGGGCTGCTGGGGCAACCACGTAAACAAGATGGCTGCCCCTTCATTGACTTTGCATCCATCGTTCTTCTCCAAGGCCTTTTCTGTTTGGTTTCCATTTGGTGGCTGCCTGGATGGCTGGAGGTTCTAGAAGTCTCTCAGAAAGGCCATGACCACTCTACTTTTGACTTGATTGCACAGAAAGGGATTCAGATCATGATACTTACGTACCTGTTCAGCACACCCAATGGGCAAGGCAGTCTGCACCTTTAAAACATTCATTTTACAAGCTTTCCAAAGCATGCCAGGTTATGTGGTAGGTGTTGAAGAGACCTAATACATTTGTCAAAAGTTTCCAAACCTCCACTACCCTTGACGTTGGGAGGAGAGAGCTGTTAACTAAGGTCCCCAGATGGCAGGTTTCGTGTCCTGCGGCAGCTGGGCTCAGGCTGTGTCTGGGCTGTGGCAGAGAGGAGAGGGTCAGGGTTTCAGGCCAAGGGAGGAATGTCCCCATATCACTGAAGCTTCAATCAGGAAGGGGCCTTGTCCAGACAGCAAACAGGTCAGTGGCCAACTTGGAACCAGAATACAGGTCTCCTGACCCTCCAGCCATTTTGTGCTCCAATCCCTGCCAGCCTGAGGTCAAAGCCCCTGGCTACTAGGGAACTCTCCGCCTTGCAGACAGTCTGGGCCCACCCTCCATGTACCCAGGGAGGGTCTCTCCCTCTGTGCTCTCTCCAGAGTCCTGTCCCGGTCCCTGCGGAGGGGCCGCTGTCACACCCGCTGTCCCACCTGCTGTCCCGGGGCCCCTCCTCGAGGTGCCGAGTGACTGCTGAGAGGCGCATCCTGGGGCACATGGTGGGGCGGGCCCCCAAGCTGCTTTGAACGACACAGTATTTCAGGGTTCGGGCAGCAGGACTCTGTCTGCGCCAGCAGGTAACTTACGGGCTTAGCGAGTCAGAAATCAAATAAACGCTCTAGCGGCCTGTGGCGGTTTCTGGGACCCTCCCCACCCGGGGCCAGCCTGATTGATTACCGCCTGTCACTCCCCTGGGACGGGGACCTTGTGTCAGGCTCACAGGTCTCGCTCCCGGGCACACAGGGTGGTGCAGACTGATGAACAGGTTCTTAAGCCCTGGGTTCTATCGGACAGTTCCCACCCTGGCCCCAGGCACCGTCTGTGGGTGAAATGGTTGCTCCTTAGTGGGGCAGAAGGGGGACCGGAGTTCACTTCAACTCTGAATGGCTGCTGGGGGTCTGGAGTTGTGTGCCGAGGGTTCTGAGGCCTGTCCGGGTTCAGTGGAAAATCCACCCGGGCTGCTTACTGATGTCGGCCATGGGCGAGGCGCTGCGGAGCCTCACATGGAAAAGCTGGAGGGAACTGGCCGCCCCCAAGGTTATCTGCTCCTGGGGGTGGGTGGGTGGGGTGGTCACAGCTCTTCCCCCCCCAGGAGGGGAAGACACATGCCATAAAACAACCCTGTTGGCTTCCGTCTTGGTATGAGGCCCATCTGGCTTGTTCTGTTTCTAATGTGCTAACTGCTAGTGGGCCAAGGTCGGAGCCCAGGAATACACGGTCCCAAAGGTGAGTGCATACCCTGGAAAGAGGAAGACCCCTCCTCCCCGCTCGGAGTCCCGCCAGCCGGCCTCACGCTCCAGACGGCCCTCACGTTGGCCTGGAGGGGGCCAAGCACACGTTCTACGGCAGGACTTCTGAGCGGAACCAAGTGCAGTCCATGTGCGTTGGGCCAGCCGGTCTACCACCCCCCCAGGGGAAGGGCGGAGGGGCCCGGGGAGACCCTGGCAGGCTGGGGTGGGCCCTCCCTGCCACCCCACCTGAGCAATGCCGGCATTGCAGGGTTTCCTGCCTCTGGAGAGGGGCCTGACCCGGGGCGGGGGCGGGGGGCAGCGGCGGGGGCAGGGCCTCAGTGGCAGCCGCAGGCCCTGACCACCATATTGCGGTGCTTGCGCAGGATGACGTTGTTGCTGCTGTCATAGTAGAGCACGGAGGTGGCGCTCAGCTTGGTGGGGGCGCAGCACGCCTTGGGGACCGCATCTGGCTTCATCAGGTGCACCTGGCGGGGGGCAGAGGCGTGAACACGTGGCCTTCCCCTGGAACTCCCGCCTGCTCCATCCTCCCCCTGCAGCCCAGGCAGGTGCTCCCATGGAGACCCGCCCCACCCCGTCCCCCTGCACCCCTGCCCCGCCCCACTGCCCTCAGGGCACACCCGCTGCGCTCAGACGGGACGCCCCAGCACACGGTGTGCCCAGGAGCCCTCCGGGGTCCCCTCCGCTCCTCTCTGTGCTTCTGTGATGTCCCTGCTCATCTCTTGTCCCCGTTAGCCGTTTGCGGTCTGTCTCCCCTCCCAAATGTGGGCTGGTGAACGTTCACAGAACCGGACAAAGCCTAGAACCCTAGGCCCACCCTTGGGGTGTCCGACGCTGTTATTCCTCAGAGCACTTCCCACCCCTGGTAACGAGCTCTAAGGCAGTTCCTGTTCTGGGCAGACCGAGAACGAGGGCACAGAGGCCACGCGTGGTGCCGAGTCACGGGGCTGTCCACGGCGGGCCGGGGACCGGGTGCGGGGACCTGCGACCCTCCTAACCGCTGACTGCCAGCAAACAGCCTGCTGAGGGAGCGGCCTGTTCTCAGCCTCCTAAAAATAGTTCTCCTGAGCGGTGGCAGGAGGGGGTGGGGAGACAGGGAACATTCCAGTAGACAAACAGCCACGGAATGACACAACAAAGCAGGCCCTCCACCCCAACAGCAACTCTGCCCCCAGACAAGGCTTCCTGTCCCTGGGCTCACCTGCAGACCCCAGGGTTCCCGCCCCCCCCAATGCCGTACCTACTCCTGAGAGCTGCCCTGCCTCCACCCTCCACCAGATGCCCTGACCCCATGTCAGGGGACCACAGCAGCCCCTCACTCGGCCCCCTGCCTGCCCCACCCTCAGCCCTGTCCATCTGCGCAATGCAACCAGGCAGATACTTCTAGAGTAAGTCAGACTGTGAGACTTTGTTGCTAAAACCCTGTAACTGCTTCTCAGTTTACATGGGATTAAGCCCACCCACCTGGCACCTTACGTGGGATCCCAGGGCCCTGTGGGCCAGCCCCTGACCACCCCCAACCTCAGCTTCCTGGCCCCCCACACCTCCCTGCAGCCCGAGCCCACCCAGCCATCTTGACGTCAGAGCTGCAGGTGCCCAAGGCCCTGGAGGAGCACGAATCACGTGCATAAAGGACAACCTGGGGACTCACGCAGGTCTCATCACCACTGAGCTCCTCCCAGAAGGTGGCTGGGGGGGGCGGGGCAGCAAATCCCACTTGATGTGAGAAAGGCAGTGCTCCCACAGAGCCAAAGCCCCTGTCAGTGATGCGTTTCCTCTCACCTGGGGCGGGGGGGGGCCTCACCTTCAACCACCTCTTTACTAGACAAATCGGCTCGGGGATACCAGTAACTAGGATTCTAGGTAAACATTCTAGAAAGAAATCTCACCCCCAGAATCAGGAACATTTAAAGCACTTAGGAATGGCAGAGTTGGTGGGAAGACCCTGAGCTTGTCTCGTCCCCATGTACAGCTAGATGACATCCGTGTGAATAAGGCAGAACACGACCAGAACCAACTCCACAACTCGAGGCAGAGAAGAGGCCCCATGGAAGAGGCCAGGAAGGGTGGAGGCGTGGCGGGAAGCTCCCCGGGCCTGGCTGCTGTCCGGGGGCGGGGGCGGGGGGGGAGACACTAACCAGGAGCTGCATGGGGAAGGCGAATTCCCGAAACTTTGGGCTTGGAAAACCAGAGGGGCTGAAGGAAACAGCGTCCCCAGCTATGGCGACGGTGGGACAGACAGCCCTCAGAGCTACAACACAGAGGCAGCAGCTGAAGAAACCCTGGGCTGTAGGGAGGGAGTGGTTTACCCCTCTCAGAGCGTGGCCCCAGGCGCAGAGATGGTTGGCAGGCGCCATTTCCCTCCCCTGTCCCCCAGCATGTGGGGGCCCCACAACACTCCCACTTACCTTGCCACCTTGCCCCTGCAGCCCCTGCCTGCCTCAGTTCCAGCACCATGGGTCCCCTCCTGCAGAGGACGGTCACGCAAACCTTGCTACTCCCACTTCCCTGCACCCCGAGCTTTGGCAGCTCCGCTCCTCCAGCCAGGTTAGCCTCGCTCCCTGCAGCGGCTGGTCCCCTGTTGCAGAGCGCCAGCACCCACCCCTTGCAAATAGTGCGTAGCCCACCCCCACGTACAATGCAGATCTCGGCTGGAGCCCATTCAAGGTGGTACCCTAAGCATGGCTGTGTGCAAGCAGCCCCAACAGGGCCTTCAAAGAGACTCCTGCCCCGGGAGAGGGAAAGGGGACTCCACGCACCAGTCAGGCTGCGCCCCAGCAGGGGACTGGGGACAGACACCAGTCTCATTACAGGCCCTGCCCACCAACTAAAGCTGCTCAGGGGACAACACAGGAAAAGCCCTCTGTGGTCTGGTGCTGTTGTATCTCACAAATGCCTGGTGTGACTCAGCTCAAGCCCACGCAGCCCCAGACTGGCCCTCTAACAGCACAGGGACCAAACACTGCCCACAACAGGCAGACAGAGCCATTGCCGATGACGGGCCTGAAGGAAAAAGTGGCTCAGCCACAACAGGAGGCTGTATGCAACACACAGAGGAGACACCCCATGAGGCACCAGGTCCTGGTGAACGGGGGACACGTGTTGTAGGGCGCTTCAGGACCTCTTCTTCAGAAGGCCACCACTTTTAAGAGCAGGAGACATAGCTGACCTTCCTAACACACAGAAACAGACGCAGAGAGTTAGACAAAATGAAAATACAGAGAAATTTATCGCAAATGAAAGAACAGGACAAAATCACAGCAAGAGACCTAAGGAAAACAGTTAAGTGATATACCTGATATAGGGAATTTAAAGTAACAGTCAAAATGATACTACTTGACAAGAGTCAGAGGACATCAGTGAGACCCTTACCAAAGAGATAAAAAAGGACCAGAGATGAGGAACACAATAAATGACATTTAAAACACACACATACATATACACACACACTAGATAGAATAAATAGTAGGTTAGAGGGCTCAATGAATCAGTGACCTGGAGGACAGAGTAATGGAAAGTAATCAAGTTCACCAGATAAGAGGGGGAAAATATGCAAATTGAGAGTAGACTTAGAGAACTTGGCAACATGATCAAGCATATAACATCTGCATTATAGGGATCCCAGAATGAGGAGAGAGAAAAGGGGGCAGAATATTTATTTGAGGAAATAACAGCCGAAGAAACGGAAGGAAGGAAAAAGAAATCCAGATTCAGGAGGTACAGAGATCCTCGAACAAACTCAGCTGAAGGAGATGTCCACACCAAGACACACAGTAATCAAAATGGCAAAAAGCAGTGATAAAGAGAATTTTTTAAAGCAGCAAGAGAAAAAAAGAAAAAACAGTTACAAACAAGGGAAACCCCATAAGGTTATCAGCTGAGCTTTCAGCAGAAACACTGCAGGCCAGAAGGAAGTGGCATGATCTATTCAAGTGTTGAAAGGAAAAAATCTGCAGCCAGGAATACGCAAGGCTATCACTTAGAATAGAAGGACAGATAAAGAGCTTCCCAGAAAACAAGTTAAAGGAATTCATGAGCACTAAACCAGCCCTACAAGAAGTGTTAAAGAGGACTTTTTGAGTGGACATAAAATACTGTAAGTAAGATTAAGAAGCTCAAAAGCAGTAAAAAGAATTTATAAAAATCAGTCAAGGGACTCAGAAAATAAAAGGATGTCAAGCAGGACACCATATACCTAAATGATGAGATTGGGGGGAGTAAAGAATGGATTCATCTTAAACAACCATCAAATTAATATAGACTGCTCTATGCAGAAAATGTTCTGTACAGGGATGCCTGGGTGGCTCAGTTGTTAAGCGTCTGCCTTCAGCTCAGGTCATGATCCCAGGGTCCTGGGATCGAGTCCCATGTCGGGCTCCCTGCTCCGCGGGAAGCCTGCTTCTCCCTCTCCCACTCCCCCTGCTTGTGTTCCCTCTCTCGCTGTCTCTCTCTCTGTCAAATAAATAAATAAAATCTTAAAAAAAAATGTTATGTACAAACCTAATGGTAAACCACAAATCAAAAACCAGTTATAGAAGGGCAAAAATTAAAGGGAAATGTATCCAAATATGTAACTAAAGAAATCCAACTAGTCATGACAGAAGAGTGCAAAGGAAGAAAGGAACAGAGAAAAACTACAAAAACAACTGTAACAGAAGTAACAAAATGGTAATATATACATCCCTATCAATAATTACATTGAATGGGGTGCCTGGGTGGCTCAGATGGTTAAGCCTCTGGCTTTGGCTCAGGTCATGAGCTCCAGTACGATCCCCGCATTCCATGTTGGGCTCCCAGCTCAGCGGGAATTCTGCTTTTCCCTCTCCCCTTGCTTGTGCTCTCTCTTTCTCTCAAATGAATAAGTAAAATCTTTAAAAAAAGGAATTACTTTGAATGTAAGTGGACTAAATGCTCCAATCAAAAGTCATAGAGTGATGGAATCAATACAAAACAAAACAAAACCCATCTATATGCTGCCTACACAAGAAACTAATTTCAGATCTAAAGACACCTGCAGACTGAAAGTAAAGGGACAGAGAAGCATTTATTATGCAGACACGAAAATAAAGCCAGGACACCAATACTTATATGGGACAAAAAGACTTTAAAATAAAGGCTGTAGGGGCACCTGGGTGGCCCAGTCGGTTAAGCGTCTGCCTTTGGCTCAGGTCATGATCCCGGGGTCCCGGGAGTGCACCCAATATGGGAGCACTCAAATACATAAAGCAGTTAATGACAAACATGAAGTAACTGATAATAATACAAAATAGCAGGGACTTTAACACCTCAGTTACAACAATGGATAGATCATCCAAACAAAATCAACAGAAAACTGTGTCTTTGAATGACACATTTGACCAGATGGTTTCAACATATATTCACAACATTCCATTCTATTTTTAAAATAGATTTTACTTATCTAAGAGAGAGAGCGCACAAGTAGGGGGAGCGTCAGAGGGAGAGGCAGGCAACCTGCAGAGCAAAAAGCTCGATGTGGGGCTCGATCCCAGGATCCTGGGATCATGACCTGAGCAGAAGGCAGACGCATAACTGACTGAGCCACCCAGGCGTCCCACAACATTCCATTCTAAGCAAAATACACATTCTTTACAAGTGCACATGGAGCATTTTCCAGAACATATCACATATTAGGCCACAAAACTAGTCTCAACAAATTAAAAAGATTAGAATCATACCACGCATCTTTTCTAACCATAACACTATGAAACTAGAAACCCACCATAAGAGAGTCTGGAGGAGCTCAAATACATGGAGGTTAAATAACATGCTATCAAACAATGAATGGGTCAACCAACAAATCAAAGAGGACATTTAAGAAATACATGGAAACAAATGAAAATAAAAGCACAATGGTCCCAAATCTTTGGGATGCAGCAAAATCTGTCCTAAGAGGGAAGCTTATATCAATACAGTCCTCCTTAAGAAACAAACAGAAATCTCAAATAACCTAATCTTAAACCTAAAGGAGTTAGAAAAAGAACTAAACCAGCAGAAGGAAGGAAATAATAAAGACTACAGCAGAGATAAATAGAAATGAAAGAAATGGAGGAAAAGGAAAGGAAGGAAGGAAAGAAAAAAAAAGAAAGGAAAGGAAGGGAAGGGGGGAACAGAGAGAAAGGGAAGGGAAGAAAGAAACCAGGGCACCTGGCTGGCTCAGTTGGTGGAGTCTGGGACTCTTGAGATTGGGGTCCTGAGTTTGAACCCCATGTTGGGTGCAGAGATACTTAAAAAACAAACAAAACCAATAGATCCAGGAAACCAGGAACTCGTTCTTTGAAAAGATCAATAAAACTGATAAACATTTAGTCAGACTCAAAAAAAAAGAGAGGACTCAAAATCAGAAGTAAAAGAGGAGAAATACCAACACCACAGAAATAGAAAAGATCGTAAAAGAATATTATGATAATGACATGCCAACAAATTGGACAACCTATAAGAAATGAATAAATTTCAAGAAACATAATCTACCAAAACTGAAGCAGGAAGAAATAGAAAAGTTGAACAGACCAATTACCAGCAATGAAATTGAATCAGTAATCAAAAAACTCCAAAGAAACAAAAGTCCAGGACCAGATGGCTTCATAGGTAAATTCTACCAAATATTTAGAGAGGAGTTATACTTATTCTCAAACTATTCCAAAAATAAGAGTGGAAGGGAAACTTCCAAATTCATTCTACGAGGCCAGCATTACCCTGATACCAAAACCAGATAAAGGCACCACAAGTAAGAACTCTAGGCCAATATTGCTGATGAACATGGATGCAAAATCCTCAACAAGATATCAGCACACTAAATCCAACAATACATTAAAAAATCATTCACGATGATCAAGTGGGATTTACTCCTGGGATGGGACGGTTGTTCAATATTCACAAATCAATCTGATACACCAATAAGAGAAAGGACTAAAATCATATAATCATTTCAATAGATTTTTCAGCATTTGAAGGTAACCCAGCCACAGCACTGGCAGCCATACCATCTGGGGAAAGCACAAAGGGCTAAAGAGCCAGGAAAGAACGCCAACAGGGAGGTGAACAGAAGGGGAGGCCAAAGCCCAGTGGCTCAGCCGGGCACACCTGCGCCCCGCCCCGCGCACACACACGCAGCGGGCAGCTGAATGCACATGCGCGTCACTCACCCCACGGCCATCTGTGTCCCGGGAGCCAAGCGTGCCCGCGCACACGGTATGCGTGTGTTCAGAGCACACGGGTCCCGGGAGGGACGCACGTCTGCTACGTGTGTGCTGTGTGTCTGACCGCGAGCATGTCTTGTCAGTCTGGGGACCCACATACCGTCCGTGAAGGCCTTGCACGTGCGTGTGCAGTGCACAGAGGGGGGCGCGCACCAGCAGTCAGGGTAAGTCAGGTATATGTAGGTACAGGCGCAGAGGAGTCTACACATCCAGCGCGGCCATACAGGCACCAGTTTCTGTACTAGCACCGGCCGTCACTGCTCGTGCGTGCAGGAAGGTTCTGGGCAGAGAGAGCCCCCTGATCCCCAGCAGGGGCTTCCATCCCCCTGGCTGTGCCCAGCCCCTCTCCCCGTGGGCCCAGACTGACAGTACTGACCAGGGACTGCAGGATGGCGTGGTTGGTGGCGTTCATGCACGAGTCCAGCGGGAAGGAACACTCTCCCTCACAGTAATAGGCCGAGTAGCCTTGGGGGGCAATGACCCAGTCCTGGGGGGGGGGGTAATGGGAGAAGGTGAGTCCCATCCAGACACCCCCTCCTGAGCCCCTGAATCTAGCACCCGGCACAGGATGGCACAGGGCGGCCCCTCCCCCTCCCCCAACCCCAGGCCAGTCAGCCCCCCCAGGGGCCCTCCAGGCAGGCTCCCCCAAGAGGCCGGGCACCGCCGGGAGACCCTCAGCAGGGGGGGCCGGGCACAGCTCTGTCCCCCTCACAGGCAGTCGGCACTGGGCAGTGTCCTCCCCACCTGCCCCTACTGCCCACGTCTCCTAGAGTCGCAGGCCCAGCAGATGCGCATGCGCACTGCCCGCCCAGCCTCCCTTTCCCTGTTGCAGATCTGACGTGTTAGGGCTGAGAATTCAGACTATCCTGTTTTCATGGTTGTTACCAAAAAGCACCTTCTCACAGGAAAAGTAAGACATTGTCCCTTCAAAAAACACAGAAGAACCTGATGCATGAGAAAATGAAAGTCACCCATAAATCTACCTCCTCCTGGAACTACACTTAGAACCTCCGGGTGGGACTGTTACTTAAGAAGAAGGAGGAGAGTCAGAAATTACCAGCCAGCCGAGGTCCTGGAAGCTGACGTAGAGCTCATGCCGCCGGCAAACGTGCCGGCCGTTGGCACCGTGAACGTCATCTGCAGGGACAGAAGCAGGTCTTTTCTGGGGTTCCTGCTCAGGCAGCTACCCCAGGGAGCTCCCAGGGCGGGGACACCCCACTGGGCACATGTGTTGAACAAATGAATGAAGTGAAACTAACGCATCTGGTGTCATAAAGCCCATCCTGCGGCTCTGCTGGTGCCATGACCCAGCTCGAGAAATGTCGATGGCTCCAGGTGGCTCCCGATAGCTACAGAGTAACCCTGCACTCAGCCCAGCCTCCCCTGACTTCCAGCCTGTGGCCCCTGATGCTCCAGTACACAGCCATGGGACCCTGGTCCATCAGGTGGCTCCCCCCTTTCTGCAGAGACACCTCCTGACCTCACCCCACCTCTCCTGCTGCACCCATTCCACCGGATTGAGTGGCTCCATGGAGGCCAAAGGGCTGACTCTCCGTGGAGGAATGGAGGGCAGGCGGGCAGGGCAGGCCCACCCCTGATCCTGAGGGGCTCAGTCTGGTGGGGAGACCCTCACATAAACAACTGTGGATCCTCGGTCCCCAGGGGAGACCTGAGAGGCACCAGTGCCTCGAGGAAGGGGCACCTGATGCTGACAGAGGCTTCTGGAAAAAGCCCTGGTGAGCCAGGGGAGGGCCAAGACGGCGCTTCTGGGTGGCAGGGACGGAGAGGGCAGTGGCTGGTCCTCAGGGCACACGAGGCAAAGGAGGGTGTCAGGAAGGTGCTGGAGGGTGAGCACAGGCCTGAAGATGCCCCGGATGGTTCTGTCCCCCGGAGCTGTTCTCGGGCCCAGCCCCAGGCCCGCCCCGGACCTCACCAAAGATCCCTGGGAGTCTGTTCGCGTGCGGCAGCTCATTGGTTTTCTTCGGCGGCCTCCTCTTCAGGGGCCTGGCTGCCCGAGGGGCTCGGACGGGACTAGGGCTCGCCCTGAAAAAAGTGACCAGGAAAGGCTGCTTGGAGCGCGGTGCCCGTCGCCCCAGCAGACCGGCCAGGCCAGGATCCACGCTGTGCCCTGGGACGGAGAGAGGAGAGAGGGCGGTCACTCGTGCACAGGGGCCAGGCACGGGGGACAGCGGGGACCCTTCTGCCCGAGCCTGCGCGGGCCCCGGTGCACGGAGGCAGAGGGCCTCAGTCTCCTCATCTGGAGACCCGAGGGAGATGGTCTGAGGGAGACGGGGAGGGAGCCTTGCCAACACAGGGTCGTCATTCGTGACAATGGTGAACGCTGCCATCCTTGAAGCCCTTTACATGTTCGAGTGACTCCCACTCATGACCTCGTGTGTCTCCACAGTAACCTGGACCACACGCTTCATGGAAAAACTTCGGAGCCACACAGTCAGGGTCGCACAGAATGGTGGTTCCCACCCCCGTCTGAGGGCTCTGAGGCCCCAGTTCTCCCGCCCCCCCCATACTTTCGGGGGACTCGATGGATCGTGCCCCAGTGGATGGGAGCAGCCGCCAGGATGTAGCGAGGACTTGTTCTGCCCGCCACTGCCAAGAGCAGGGCCCTAAGTGTCCCCCGATGCCCACAAACAGGACACCGGGGGAAGTGGGGCAGAGACATCTGGACAAAGTCCCAGAGCTGGGGTTCAGCCCACGTCTAATTCCAGACCCCAAGTTCTTACTCACTTAAGGCATTAACTCCAGGTTTGTGGGTCAAAAAAGAGAGAAAAGGCCATGGGCAGGGACCCATGGGGGCCTCTGGCTAGGAAGAGGAGCGCCCGTGAAAATGGGATTTGACCCCGAAGCTGCTTAAACATGAGGATGTCTTGGGAAATACGCTCATGATCGCTGGAAATGTCAAGTCCACCAGTAAAACTAACTTCCTGTACTTCTTTGTATTTCCAAATGACCTCCTGATTTTTTAAAGATTTATTTATTTGAGGGGAGTGAGGGGCAGAGGGTGACGGAGAGAGAATCTCAAGCAGACTCCATGTTGAGCTCAGAGACCGACGCAGGGCTCGATCCCATGAGCCTGAGATCATGACCTGGGCCGAAACCAAGAGTGGGCCGTTCAACTGACTGAGCCACCCAGGCTCCCTGCCTCCTGATTTTTTAATTGTCAAAGTAATAAAATAGCAACTGTAACGTTTAAGGAAAAAAAAAAACATCACTCAGAAATCTCTCCACGCTCCAACACAGCATTTTCATTTTTCTGGAATATTTTCACATCAGTTGAAGTTTTACACAATGGTGACCATAAGTATCTGTATCTTTTCCAACTTTTTCACACAAACATGTTCACTGCTGTTAAAATGTCTCCACTATGAGCATTTCAAATGTATAAAATTCCTTTGAGAAAACACCGCATGGTACTTAGATATTAGCTTCGCTTTAAACACGTCGGTTATTTCCCGGCTTTCTCTGTAAAGACGAGAACGCCGCAGACCCCTTCATGTTCTCTTCCTGTGGAATTTTCTTAAACGACGGAGAGGATTAGTAACTCAATTTTATGTTTCGTAACACACAGAGCCAACTGTTCCCCTTCCGTGTCCATATCCCCTCAGTGTGTCCACCCTGACGCACGCACGCACACGTGTGTATAGAAACACATGCGTTTATCTTACAGTATACAGACGCCCACATGTACAAATACCTATGTTTGCTCCGTTAGCGGGTCTACTATGATTCACTGGGACACACCACAGGTCAAGGGCACTGCCCGTGCCACCCACAGTCCTGCTCGGCTGGTAAAGGTCAGCCCTTAAACAGCTGTGCTGTAGGCCTGTGTCCTTGGGCCAAGTTGACTGAAGACAAATCAATCCAGAGACTAAACTCTGACCTATGACATCACCTGCCACACACAAATGCACTGGACCCATCGGAGGTTCCACTGGGGAGCGATCCTGCTGGGACATGAGGTCGTCAGCTGCAGGAGTGGACCCTGGAAGGAGCCCAGAGAGAAGCCACTGGGGAGAGTTTGGGTCATAGCAAGTCAGTCATGAGGAAGCAGCAGACCCATGAGGACCCTGAGCCACGAGACACATACAAGCCCTGTGAGCAGAGCGACAAGGCCAGTGAGGCCACGAGGAGGACAGAGTGGATGGGAGCAGGAGGGTGACTGTCGTCCACACGGCGCTGGAGTGACCCTGGGCTGGGCAGCCCTCCACCCCTGCAGGTGCCGCTGCCCTGCCCCTGTTCCCCGGAGAGAACCATCCACCGAGGAGCCAGGGAGGGCGATCTGTCACCTGAGGCAGTGTTCACTGTTCGCTCTCCTCGTGCATCCGTCTGATCAAGGATCTTGCTGGGGCCTCCCGGGGGGCAGAGAGAAGGGGCTGCAGGGAAGGCCCGAGCGGTCTAGGGGGTGGGGCCCGAGGCTGCCTGGCTCTGGAAGGCTGCTTTCTAGAAAGGTAGAGGTGGGCGTCTCTGGGGCCCAGCGTCCCTGGCTCTATACCTGACCCTGTGGGGTGCTGGCAGGCATGCTGTCCCCTTTGTACCTGATGGGGTATGTGCAGCCATGCCTTGAGAATGTGGGCCACACTGTGGCCTCTCCCCTTCGCCCCGGATGGAACATGCTGCTTCTCTGGTCCAGGGGGAACCCATGAAACCTCCAGCCTCACCCCACTTCTCAGTCAGCTCCATCAGTGCCCAGAGGTCTTGGCAGCTCACCTGCCGCATCCTGTGGCAGGGCAGGTGGTCAAGGCCGAACTCACACCCCCACCCAACTGGGCCAGGCCAAGATCACTCCCACCTCTCCCCCAGGCCTCCTCTTGCTCTGGGCGCCACCTGACTCTTCCCCACAGACCCGGCCCCACCTCAGCCTGCGGCCATGGGTGTGATCCTGGTGCCACGCTGAAGGACCATCAGGGTGCCTGGCTGAACCCTCGGAGAGTCCCGGCTGTGGACCCGGTCTGCCTTTGTCCCTGCGGCTAGGTTACTTCAGCCCGTGAGAAGGAGGGACTCACCCCTCCTCCTGCTTCCTACGTCTTATGCACCTCTCACTCTCTGCTCCTGGAAGCTCTGCCTGCCCCACGCTGGGAACTGACACCCACGGCTGATCAGGGCCGCTCCCCAGAAGCCCCAGAGGGCGCCCCACTATCCATCCACTTGATGACTTCCATTCCACCCCCAACCTGGTCATGGTCCCTGGCCACTTACCCCCAAACCCCAGGCTGCCCCCTCAGGGAGCGGTGTCTCCATCCCTCC